ACCACTTAACCCTATCCGTACGTCGTGTTTTACTATCGTATCCATACGACGTGGGGAACTCTGTGCCACCACTTAACCCTATCCGTACGTCGTGTTTTACTATCGTATCCATACGACGTGGGGAACTCTGTGCCACCACTTAACCCTATCCGTACGTCGTGTTTTACTATCGTATCCATACAACGTGGGGAACTCTGTGCCACCACTTAACCTTATCCGTACGTCGTGTTTTACTATCGTATCCATACGACATGGGGAACTCTATGCCATCACTTTCCAAACAGGAAATTTACTCGTAAATCCGATCGGTATGCTTTGCATAGCAGTCTGTCAAAATGATTTTTTTTAGAAACACTGAAAGTTTCAAAGAGATCTTCGTACTAGAAGTATTCTAAAATAAGAACAATACAACCCCGCGGGTACAAAATGATCCCAGGGCGTACGGACAGGTTTCAAATTGGCACCCTCAAAATTTCCAGTTTGTGAGTACAGTCGTTTTTTCCCCCTGTGCTCTTCAACTGGTTTGGGGAATAAATATCTCCTGAAGGTTAAAAACAATGGACAGTAGCTGAACTCTGCGCAGTTCTTTCCAAACAAAACACAAAACATCTCGCTTCACCCTATAGAGTCGCGCCCATATATATATATATAAGCATTGATGATGTGCGATTTCATCAATTCAGCCAAGATTTCTGCGTTTTATTTGAAATCTGCACTGTAGGGTCAAAATAGTACGATATAATATAGAGTGTCCAAAAGAAGAATTTGTTTAAATGCAACTTCATTGAACTTAACATTTTGCAGTCACACAGACAGTAGTACATATACAAAATACCCCCATATGGTCACCCAGCCAGGAGAGTGACTGCAACGGATAATTTTCACCGGAGCAATTATAGCGCCCAGCAAGTGACTGCAAAGTGTTAAAGTCCACACTGTACTTCATCGGCGTGTATCTTTTGGCAGTCATCAGGGGTCATTTTTGTCGTTACCGTACCTGTACAAATCTGATGAAAGAGTCATGGCAGAAGAGGTGAGGAAAAGAAGGAGGGGAGGGGGTTAAAGACGAGGAAGAGGAGGAGGAGGAGGAGGGGTCAAAGACGAGGAGAGGAGGAGGAAGAGAGAGGTCAAAGACGAGGAAGAGGAGGATTCATTTTCTGGTCTCTGTACCTGTAACAAACCTGATGAAAGAGTCATGGTATTAGGATTAGCAGAAGAGGCGAGGATAGAGAGGGGAGGGGTCAAAGACGAGGAGGAAGAGGAAGAAGGCGAGGGTCAAAGAAGATGAGAGAGGAGGGGCTAAGTAACTGTAAAAATCTGCTGAAAGAGTCATCATGGCATGATGATTAGCAGAAGAGGCGAAGAAAAGAATCGGGTCAAAGATGAAGAGGAAGAGGAGAGTGACTCAAAGACGAGGAGGAATAAAAGGAATGGTAAGACATTACCCAGAGTGCTCTGAATGACGACATCGCTGAAGGAGCCGTTGCCCAGCTGGTTCCGGGACAGGATCTTGAACTCATACTCTGTGGCCGGCTGCAGGCTGAACAGCTTGAAACTACGCGTGGCCGAGCTGGGGATGGACATGGTCACCCAACTCATGGGGATCGGGGAGCTCTCTCGGAACCTGGGGACGTGGAACGACAGAAAGTAAGAGATAGAGATATATAAATTGTGGATATTTTTCTTTGCTACGCGACAAAAGGAATAAGAAATACACATGCCAACAGGCTACCCC